AGACATAAACTAGTGAAAGAGGCAGACGTGACAACAAGAAAATGCAGCTGTTTTTTTTTTTTTTTAAGCTGCAAGCAGAGCATCACAGGCGTCCTTTTCTCCAGCATCATTGCGGTGGTCCTCCTGGATGATCGCCAGGTGCTGCCATCGCATCTCTTTCATCTTGTCAATCAAGCTGTCAGACGGCTCCGGAGACGAAGGCTTAACAATTGCCTGCAGGCCACATGCTAACGTGGACTGGCTTCCCCTGGAGAAAGGCACTTATAGCTGTGGTTTGAACAGTCACAGGAAGGTAGGAGGTGTGGCGTGATGCTTTCTGAAAAAAGACAGGCGAAGAGGAGAGATGAAGATGATCATACTTCCCCACAGTTGTCAGACAACATTTGAAAAGAGCAACAAAAAAGAGAGAGAGAGAGAGAGATTATTGTTTTGCGAAAGGACCTCACTCTGCAGTTGACATGTAAAAAGTGAATGGATGATGCTGAAAGTGGACGAGTGAAAGGTGTGTCTGAAAGTTGTAATGTAAGTTTAGTGGAGCTAACTTTAGTGCAGTTACTGCTAATGAGGGTCTCGAGCAAGACTTAGCGGCTTTCATGCTGCGATGCAAGACCATCAATTAAGAATGAGGGTGGAGAGTGGCCTTTCATGCTCATCATGTCTTTGAAGGAATTACTTCGTTTGAACATTTTACATCTTTGAGTGAAATGAGTCAAGCAGAGCAGGGGGAGAGAAAGAGTTAAGCTGGAGGCCCCCTGCTGCTATCTGAGATAAAGTCTTTTCTGCTGAGGGCAGCTCTGTCTTTACACCAAACTCAAATTATGTGATCTATGATGAAAGTATTCTACTGCTATTTCTTGTGATAATCATATAATGTTGCAGAATTTGAGCTCTGAGTTTTTATTTATTTAAAAAAAATTTTTTTTGCACATTCCTCTTTGATCTCCTGCAGAAAATAAATTGAACACACTTGGAGTTTTTGGTTTCGGAAGACAACAGACTGCACTACTAAATAGCAAAAAATGGATACATATCCATATCACACATACCAGATTTTGTCTGCAAAAACCTTTTAAAGTAATCTAGCCTGCCTATAAATATTTTTTTTACATAACTCCTAATTAAATGCGTTAAAGTTTGAGGGTGTAACGACCGTGCTGTGAGAAAGTTAAATACTTTTGCAAGGAACTGTAACTGAAAAGGAGAATAACATTGAGAAAGACAGCGGGTGAAGCTGGAAAGAGAGATGGAGGCTAGATAGAAAAACTGCTCAGAAAATAAATAAGTCAGCCAGTAACAATAACAGTTTCACATGCTAATGTTGGAGCTTTTGCAATCCTGGAGACGACATGTCTCTCTGTATATGGACATATCTGCTTATTGTTGTGAAGTTACCATATAACTTGGATTTACATGGTAACTTTTAGTAAAATGTCCAGTTAGTGGGCTCTTTAAGAAAGTTGCCTAATTTTTCTAAACTTGTCATTGTATTGCAGAACAATAGCAGAGTGAAATGACATTGTTTTGCCGTTTATGATATGTACATGCATGTTCGGAATAATTAGGTCTGAATTGTACAAGATATATCAGCTGAATAACATGCCAAACAATCTTGATCTAAAAAATACTGGAAAAGGGAAATAAAATATTTTTTCCTCCTGATTGTGTCAACTAAGTCAACTAAGCAACAATAAAAGGCAAAAGAAAAACATAAAAAGCTCTGACTCTTATTTCATTTATTTTTCTAACAAAAGCCTTTTTTAATTTAGCAATCATAACTTTAAAAATATCTTCATTATGTTTTTACATAGCTATGAATTTACCTAATTTAGAGTGATGGTCATGATTTTAATTCCCATACAGAATAAGTCAATGGACTGGCGACGTATTTTTTTTTTTTTAGAGTTGCACTTAGAAAAAGTACAAAGACAGCAAAACTGTCTTTGTATTCAAGACCAATTTTAGACCACAGAATTACAACAAAATGAGCCTTAATAGCAAAGCCTTAAACCAAGCAGCTCTGTGACAACTATGAAAGAACTGGTGGGCATTGAGCAATTTTTTCTTTTGGACATGAACAAAAATAGGAAATCAGTCTTTCATTTTTTAAAATGTTATTTAGAAAAAAAAACCAACTTCTCCCTCTGAGGTTTTGACAGCTGCCAAACAATGCACTGTCTATTATAATTAATTAATTGCTCTGATGATTATGAGTATTAGCACAGAGCCGTGTGGTAAAATCCGCATGTCTCTGCAGATTATCTCCTGGTCCTGTAGCATTTGTCTCCATTTCAGCTGACTTAGTGAGCCGACTGAGGGAAAAGTATGACAAATGAATTTGATTGGACTATTCTGAGCTTCTCTATTATAATGTTCAAATGGCTCTCTGTGTGTGTGTGTGTGTGTGTGTGTGTGTGTGCACGTGTGTGTGTGTGTGAGTGCTGGCATGTGCCACTCCGCGCGCGCACACAGCATGTTGCTCCAAGGCTGTCATGTGATCAGCAAAGCCTCTCTCGGAGAGAATTGACTATCTATTCTGTAACAGAAATGCACAGAGGTCTCCCATTGGCACACGTTTAAATCCCTTTTTGAGTCACTGGGAGGCCATCAACTGTGGTGTACGTCTTCGGGTGTGTGAGTACATGTGAGGGAAACGTTGCATGTGGGTAAATGCCACCAATCCCAAGTGAATTAGGATGATTTTTGAGGGCTTCCAAGCAGCTCTGGGACGTTGCATGCATGCGAGTCGCTTGTTTGTTATCTCCCCGTCCACATGCTGACTTTTAACTGTGCTGCCAGGGAGCAGAACAGAAGAATAATCCCCTGGTTGGGTTATTCAGGTTATCCAAGATACAACAGTGTTACTTTGGCAAGAAAGAGAAGAACCAAGAAGCACGGCGAGAAGATCATCAAAAGGCAAAAAGAGCTGGTAAAAAAAAAAAGAAAAAGAGAGACAGGGCAGTGAGGAGGGTGTTGAAAGTACAAGAAATAGGGCAGAAAGGAGATGTGAGATCATGGATATACACTGTTGGTCAGAGTAACAGATTAGCTCACTGGGTGAAATGATGTATGACCGCATGTGCACAATCACAGCCCTGCCTTCGGATCAATTGTTCTGTCACATGTGTGGGCAACCATACATCATCGGCTCGATTACATCTCAAACACATATGGAACTTCAGCCGTGCTTTGTGCTGTGCTTTACAAGCAGGAGTCTCTCTGCGGTGTGACTTCATGTCGGCTCCTGTCTGTCCGATTCTCCTGTACAACACAGGCAGTCGCACTTTACAGCCCGGTTCGGCTTTGCTTCTTCAAATGAACTGCAGTGGCCAGAGTCACTTGTTGGGAGTAAACTTCTTTGGGCAGCTAGGGTCATTTCAGCCAGTGGAAAACACACCCACACACGCATGCACACGCACACACACACACACACACACACACACACACACACACACACACACACACGAAAACAAGGAGGCACTTCTGTTTGTATGGTGACAATCTGCCACTCTGCTCCTGTTGGTCAGGTAGGCTGAGATCAGATTAATGTGAACTTCTCACAGCTGAGAGAGACTCGCTCACACAGATCACAGCTACATCTTAATAGGTCACAGACTTTAGGATTTCCCTTTAGTCCAACCAGTGGCAGTTTTTGATATGGAAAACAAGGCTACCTGTCCAGGTCAGCACATCCAGGGGTGCCACATGGCAAAAAAAAAAAAAAAAGAGCCCCAAATGAATTTTCTAACCTCATGATGCAGGCCATATTTATTTAGAACAGAGAGGTTACTTTCATTGCTCTTGATTATTGCTTTACAGAATGTGTAGGTAACTTGCCAGACGCTTTCATCCATCTTTTATTAATACTATACCAGATGCCATCATGAAACCTAAAAATGAAATGAACACACATCAGCACACGCCCACTCCCTAACAACTTTCATGAAAAGCTACTCTCATGAAAGTTTCATTGGTTTGCCAGATGCATCCGTAGAACATATTGAATGTTTTTATGCAAGTTACCTAATGAATCAATTCTTGTGACCTATCAGGATATTTGTAGAATTTACAAGATACTTTCATTAAACTGTCATGGACATCATCTAAGCACTGTAGGAAAATACCAATTTTAATGTAGGACATTGAACTCGGTTGGAATAACATTTGAAACCAATTATTCTGTGCTAAATTTTAGAGGTATTTAGCTGTTTTTTTTTTTATTTATTTTTTTTAGAAGTATGCACTGATTACTTGTTTAGTTATTCTCGGTAGACAGTATTCTAAATTGGAACTATTTGGAAGTGATAAAATCTTAATTCTCTACTTGAAAAAATGTGTTTTCTTAGCACTAGACCTCTACCTCTTAAAGTAAGATCGAATGCTTAATGAAAAGAATAGTTTGTTTTTTTCATCAAAAAACTATTGTATGGTTACATGAAAGCAAAAGCAATGTGTGCCATTGTGGCTAAAAAGAGAAAACTTTTTATTGTATTTACACAAACAATAAAAAAAACTAATTCAGAATTTCTGAGAATTGTTTTTTGTATCTGGCTCTAAGACATCATCTGGTCATTTACATAGTAAGAAGGCTCTTTATTGAGGTGTTAGGGAGTGGGCGTGCACTAATGTGTGTTGGACAACAAAAGGAGGTTCTTGCCCAGGGCGTGATTCTTGCAAGAATCCCCCCACTGTATCCAGCTTCCAAACTCCTCGGGGCGTTCCTGATGCACCTAAATTAGTTTGCGTGTGTGCGTGTTTGTATTGTGTTTCGACATTAGCCCATGCCTCTTTCTGTCTGACTACCAGGGCACACTGACAGCTGATGAATAATATCATGTATCCCACACGTCCTTGCGCAGCCCATCTGGCTCTAGTCACATTAGTGTACAGTATCGTTTAGGGCTTGCTGCATACGCCTTGCTTCTATGGACTCATGTTTCCGCATCAGTCCGCTAGGGGGCGGTGCACCACTATCACAGCTTACAGCAAACGCTCCACATCTTCCAGGCAGGACAAACAGGAGCGCATCAGCAGTCTGCGTGACGCCCCGACACAATCGCACCTCTGTCCCGCCACCGGCTGCGGTGTCCTCACTTTCTTCTCGAGGAATAAAAAGAAGATTCCCCCACGCCAAATAAAAGCCCACTTAGGGCGTTTCCATCATATTAACATGGCTTAGGGAACTTTCTTGTGTGAAAGAGGAGAGGAGAAACGGAACTTTCAGGGATCCTTCTTTCAGCAGCGGATCGGTCGCAGAGGGCAGCAGGCTTGGTTTCAAGGCAGGAGGGTCAGAGCTTCCTGTCTTTTCACCTCATCTCCGCATATTCCGACGCGTGGATGGTATGGTGTAACTTTCCTGCACGGTGTAAGCGCAGAGGGCATGCGAGAATCTCCTCCGTCTCGGATAGTGGAGTGGCTATGAGGAAAGAGGTTCACCTGCTGGGTTAACAGAACAGGACCACACCGCACCAACAGGTAAGGATTTCTGGGTAACCTCCACACTTTTCACAGAGGGAGGGAAGGGGGGTGCATTTTATGCGCTTTTTATTTACTGCCTGCAAAGTGAGCGTGATAAAAAGTCATGAACGCCGCACATCTGCTCCGCATGAATACAAACTGCATCACAGCTTTTCAGCTTAAGTCTATTAAGTCTACCAATGGAACGGATTGCATCTTATTCTGACCGTGTTAGGGGATACAAATGGAGAGGATTTTATGGAAGAGTTGCTGGGGGGAAAAAAAAAAAGGTAGGCATTCTGCTGCCCTGCAATCAGCTTCATTTAGACAGTGGTGATTTTACAGAGAAGACAAATGATTGCGGTTGTTTCAGGTGTTGCACCGCTTATCCGAAGGCTCCCCTAGCTCTTTCTTTCTCAGTCGGACGCACGCGCGCACACAAATGAGCGCACGCGCACTCCCTCTTGATTGCCACGCAGGTGAGGTAGCTGTATGGCGTCTGCGGGCACGTGTTATATATTTATCGGCGGAGCCGGCCTGTCTCGGTTCTTTATCTCTTTAGTTGATTTGTTCAATAGATATGAGCTGTACGAAAAGGTTGGACCGGGTATTCATGCATTTATTTGCGCTGTGTTTCTTCGACACACTCTCACTTGTCTTATAACCAAGCCTGAATCTGACGCTCTTGAAACACTTTAACTTATTGATATTGAGTTGCCATTCAATGTATTTAAGCATCTCTACTCTTGAACGTTCTCACATTTTTGTCACAGTATGGCTAAACGTCGGTAAGTTTATTCAGATTTGAGGTAACAGCCTTAGCTTTGACAGGGCCATTTTAGCACATTTAACACTTTGATCCAAATTATTCATCATTCTTTTTCAGCCTCTTAACTTTTTTCTTTTTACAGGACTGTACTGTAATTATTTCCATCCATCTTTCCATCAACCATGACCAGCTTGCCCCCACAGCATGATGATGCCACCCCCATCATTCTGGGTGGGCATGTGGTGCAGTGCTAGTTTTTCTTTCAATACACAGAATTCTGCCTACAGCCTAAGTTCAATTTTGGTCTCATTTGATTAGACTATCTTCTTCCACATGTTTGATAGTGCGCCCTGCAAACCTCGAGGCAAACTGCAAATGGTACCTTAACGTCTAGAATTACTTTTTTCCTGCCACTTCTCCGTAAAGTACAGGGTTGTGGAATGCATGACTGAAACAGATATTCTTACATGATAGATCTCTGGAACACCTAAAGATGAGGTGCGTTCAAGACCAGAATTTTTTTTTCTTCCTTTACTTGAGGTGGTGAGAACAATAATTTCATTTCCCAATGATGTTTCCTGCACAAACATCATTGGGACCTGTGACTCTAGCATAAGTCAGTGTAGTAAGCATGCCCACTTTACATTTCTTACCCGTCACAGTGTACCTGTTGGGCATCACACTAGAAAGAAACTCTGTTGGGATGTCAAGAAGAAGCTACAAGAACTATCAAACCACAGCTGCCAGAAAAGAATGATGTCATTTTCGCTCTTGCAGCCTTGGCAAAGAGAAGAAACATTTTTTGCAGACTATGTTTGGGCCACCAGGCTGCTAACCTTGCTCACCCAGTAAGAGTAGGTGTACAATCATTTTTTGGTAAGTTTACAGGTGTGCCACTTTTTTAAGTTATGGATTGAACAGCGGTTTGTGAGAATGTTTGGTGCTTAGGATAGAGTTTTACAATATAATTTAGCTTCAAAATGTCCACAACACTATCTCTGAGTTCTCTGGTATGTAGCTTGGTCTTCATGATGCTGCTTGTTCGCTAACAAACATGTCAAACCTTCACAGAATAACTTTATTGTGAAACTAAATGACACACATCTGAAATCTGTTTAGAACTTAGGTTAGTTCTGAAGGCAACTGAATTGATTTAGTGATATCAGATTAAATGGGGCTAATTACAAATACATGGTAGACTTTAGATTTTGATGTGCCATTTCATGATTATGCAACTTTTTGTGAATTTGTTGAAAAAAAACAAAACAAACAAAAATAAAAAAAATGTGGTTGTAATGTGTCAAGATGCTGAAAAATTCAAGTGGCAAGAATGTCTTTGCAAGGCACAGAATATGAGAATTTACACTGCGTAACATCCTTCTTGTTATTTTCAGCTCAGGCCACAAAAGCCAAGGCATCTGTGCTTTGAAGCCGCTATTTGAACAAAACTGTATATAATTTCTGGACATGCTCCAGACTTGACTGACAGGAAGGAAAAGCAGTAGGGAGGTGGCGAGCGGAACAGCCGCAGAGATTGGATTGGATTTCTGGGTGTTTATGGAGAGATACTCAAATGCATTATCGGAAAGAAATATGTGGCTGGTAGCTTTCAGAAATGGCTCAAATGTATTTTTAATGCGGCCACAGAGCAAAATAAATCACAATACACCGTTAGTGTCACGAGCTTATTCAATAAACAGTTTCTGGTTTTGTGCTCACATTATTAATCACAGGCACGCAAATGCTGCAACGAGAGAAGGTAGAGGTTGGAAAGGGAGCAAATGTATTGGGAAACAAGATTAAAAAACAAGACTGTAGGGTGGGGGAACTGGTTTTTATTCTTTCAAGTAATATTTGAGGATTGGTTTTAATTTACTTTAGCTGCAAAGGTTTGGAAATGTGTTGTTAGTGAGGACATATTTGGGAAAAACACTAGGCACTGAGTTACATTGAATAAATGGTTTACAATAAGTATTAATGACATGAATGTCATCGGCTAATAGGGACAGAAAAGTTCACTTGTGTTCATTTAGCTTATGGGGAACTCTTATCAGATACTGATAAAGTATGAAAAGTTGCAAACTTGATGAGGCCAGAGTATAAGGAATTACATTAAATATACAAATGACTTGCCTTTTGTATATGATTGGACTATTTTTGTATATTTTGTAATGCTTTTATTGCCATTAGGTTTGCCTAACACTGGTTTGCTGTTCCTCTTTCATCAGAAAATCCAGCTGCTTTCAGATTTCATCAGTCATTCTTGGTAAACACCAATCAGTTTTGGTACTTACCAAACACATTATAAGCACATGTGAGCGCCCTCCTGTGGGTAAAAATTGCAATTGCCTGTAACTGACGTGTTCTTAATCAGAATGTATTTGTAAATGATGTCCATCTGTGAAAGATTGGTACAAATACCATTATTATTACATCCTTATTGTTAGCTATCTTATTTCACAGACAGGTTATGTCCTGGATTGTGTGTTATTTACTTGCCAGCCTTGGAGCATATTTACCTTGAAACCACTAAAGTGTTTATTAAAATGATTTGTTTACTTAGACAAACCTGAAATACTTTTCACCTCTAACGTAACAGGAAAATAGAAGGCATCACTGAATACCATGTGGGATTGGGCTGGAAGTGGGTGACTTACACTAGCATATCTGTTTATTTGCATAGAGAGTGGGGAAGTAGCTCCGATCTCATGTGGTCACCGGAGATGCACGTGGAGATGCATTTCAGTGCCAGGTGTAAAGTGACCCGCTCGGATCTGTCCACTTATGGCCACCCAAGACAAATATAAAACTAGATTCGAACAAGATCTGCAACATTGCTAAAAACAACCTCTTTCAAATCTCACGTTTTTGTTAAGGTAAGAAACTGCTTCTAGTACTTCTGGTGCATACATTTTCTATATCCACTTCTTCCTTGCCTGGGTCGTTGGGGGTGCTGGTGTCTATCTCTAGCTGCCATTGGGCGAGAGGTAAACCCTGGACATGTCACCGGTTCATCACGACAACACAAAGACGTAACAGGCAAAGAACCACACACAAAGACAGACTCATATACCTAAAGACAATATACAGAGACCAATTGACCCACCAGTTATGTTTCTGAACTGTGGTGGGAAGCCAGAGTACCTGAGGAGAACTCAGACATGCATGGGGAGAACATGAAAACTCAGAAAGACTGCAGGACTTTCCTGTTAAAAGGCAACAGTAATACCACTCTCATAACACCACTTTATTTACATGCAGTAAAGACCACGTCAGAAGAGGAAAACTGCATGACATATCACACCGTGCCATAAGAAGTAATAAAAAAAATGCAGCTCTTTTACAACTTAAAGTTTGCTGATTGATTCCTGGGCTCAGATTGGGCACCGGAAAAATCCTGGTTGTTTTCATTTTTCTAGCCATTCAATTGGACATTTTTCACTGTTCTAGTGAAAGTATAGTTTGTCGGCTGCACTTAACAAAAAAGAGTGTTATCCACTATGGTCCCTGGATATGAAGATAGATTTACACCCTGTATTCTTGAGACTCTCATTTTGATGTAATTACAGTGTTACAAAAGTCTGCAAGTGTTGGCTGGGAAAATACAAAAAGCACTGAAGAATCCTTCACTACTGGTAACCTTTTTTTTTTTTTTTTGGTAGGACTTTAAGTACTGGGGAAAAAGAGAAACACTGACAGAGTGACAGATAAGATACAAATTTTTTTTTTAAGTACTGTACAATCACAATGACTGCTAATGATGATAATAACTGCTAATGAGTTAGCATCTGCTTGCAAGCTTCTTAACACTGATAAACACTAAAAGCTGCTTCACAGTTTTTAATGAGTCCGAACATCATTTATTCATCGCATCCTTAATACTGGGATTGATAAAATCTTTGAGGGATTAATCCAAACTGAACAGATTTTAAAAAAAAAGTCTGTTTTGAGATTTTTGTAGCCTTAATTCTGTTTTAACACCACAAAACAGAGCATGTCAAATAGTAATTAGTAATTTATTATGAGTAATAACTTAGTGTCAGGACCAACTTAGAATCAGAAAAGCATAGAAACTGAAAAGCATGGCTTTGTCAAACCTGGATTTAGTTAACAGATTCAGATAACAGATTCTTTAAGACACAGTTAGCAATTTATATGCTTTTCCCCCCTGTCAAAACAAGCAAACAAACAGACAAAAAAAGCTACATATTTGTTAATTTTCTTTCTTTTTTAAAAAAAATTTGTCTTG